TCTTACAGTGGTTGTTAGAACGAACATGATAGGTTCCAATAAGACGAAAAGATAAGGCATAGAACATGGAATTAGTGAAACAAACCACCTTGTAAAGCAAATTCAGTTTTTGAGACTCCGGATGCTACAATATTTTTGCCTCATATGCCCTACCTCACAGAGTCCCCCCGAAAATATTGGTTGCTATTTGACTGATGTCATAGGGCTAGCCTACTTGCGGGACTTGCGAGGGAAATTTTCGGCAGGTCACTATCCATCCCTACCGCGGCCAACTCCTCGTCCGTACAAGTACCCCAACCTCCAAGCCCAGAGATGATTGGTCGTCGAAACACCATGACTGCCTTGGTGGTACTATACATGGTGATACCAATATTGATGGCTGACTACATGTAGGGTACTGGTAGAGTATAGTACTGTACACAACGGTTGCCAAGGGGCCATGCAAGTTCAGAGTGCGCTCGGACTTCCGCCTTCCGCAATAGGACATCGGCACAACGTCCTCCCACCCCCGGTTCCCCAATCTGCCTTGGGTCTCACAGCTGTTAACACCTGTGGCTCAGCTTCGATACTGATAGGCATACAAATCTATCACAATTCACGCCAGTGAAGGATGTTTCTGTTGCGATTCCCTATGGACTCAACTTTTGTGTTACCAACTAGAAACGCATGCGCCTCCACTTCCCCGTTACCAAGGGGGCCCAACCAAAGAACAAAGTCACCAGTACAAGGTTCCTTCGCAAAACTTCCCTTTGGCTCGTTTATCTTTTGAATCCTGTTACTGGATGTCAAAACACGGCCCGCGAGGTTGAAAATAGTATGGCGTATGGAGAGTAGGGCGCCTTACCGCAGGGCTAGGGGCCATGAAAATATTCGCCCCCCTATCGTACAGCATATCATCCCGTGGCACTTTTGAAAACTACAACTAAGGGCTCCCTCCAGGTGCACAGGTATTTTGAGACCAGGTTATGATGGTTAGCCAAGCCACCCACAGCAATTGCTGGAGCACTATAATAGTGATTGCATGTACACTTTCCAAGTGCTCCATTCTCGGCAAACATGAACGAGTATTTGCAATTTGACACCAGATACTTGTACTTCCTCGGGTATAGTTGGCGATCTGATTATCAAGCACTAGGCAAGTGATCTGAGATGGTGATTTGGGATCGGCCTTGAACTGGTGCCGCTGATAATGGTAGGTAGCACTGGCTGATGCTCTTGCGTTACAAGGGCCACCCGCATCCCTTGATGGCGGCTATTCCTAATTCGTATGGGATTAATTATTTCATATCCAGCTACCGTTTTTCAATATTCACATCGCCCGCCACAGCTAATAATCTAGCTTTCCTCCTAACCCAGCCCCGAGCGATCGCGACTCCCAGGCCAGCTCGAGAGAACCCAACCCAAAGATGCAAAAAAAAGTGCTATCATGGTCCGGAGTTACTGTGCCCACGCATTCTTGTGCTATTTTCAAATAATGAAAAATGAACTTTAGAACCTCGAATGCCACAAAGACATTGTTGCTATATTCTCCTCAAACAAGTGTCTGGCTATTCATACCGATATTCCGAGCCGCTTGTAGAACGGGCGTATGCATTTAGTAGCGGTGCAAACAGCATTGCACCGTGCGCATAAACTTAATTCATAAGCCGCCAAGGGTAGTTAGTCATACTGGTCCAACACAGTTTTCGAAGCGTTCCAAATGGTGTCATACCCAACCGCTAAGGTTTCCAGGGTATTTAGGTGAAATGTGTGATAATTGTAGCGCTTCACCCTTGACTCTAGAAGTGTGCGAGTGATAAACGGTGATTTTGAGCAGGAAAAAAAAAAAAAAAAGTGGGTCTCGGTCCAAATGCGCATGACAAAAGTAGCGTCCTTCGCCTTGGAATATCTCTCCACGCCCTCCACTGTGCGCCCACATAGAAGGCACTATTTCTGTGCTTCCTCGATGTGAAGGGCTCCCCCCGATTTTGAATCAGCCTTTGATATTGGATTGTTCGGTAAAGAAATCTAGCTACTGTAAACCGATGGTGCACGCCGCTACACGTTGCTCTATTATCTTTCACATCGGGAGGGATTGGAATTCGATCACGTCCTATAAATAAAAGTGCAAAGTACGCCCTGCTCGGTCAGGGTATCGGCCCAGACATTCGCGCACCGTAATCCCATATCCATTGAAGAGTTCTGTTTAACTTCAGAGAATCGTTCACCTTGGTTGGGCGTAAATATCGTACCAGTCGCAGGATCAGCAAAAGCCGGTACTCGTAGCGTATTCTATCTCATATTCTGCAATGATTCTGCGTCAAAACCGTAGCCAGAAGAACCTTGTCGAGGGAAGCGTGTAACGTAAGCACATTAAAAGACAGATGGGAGCAATGAGTCTGAGCACTCATCCAAACCCTATAGGTCAAAGCGTACAGCCCTAACGGGTCAGTATGTTACTCTGCCCGAGAGGTTTTAGTATCAATGGTCGATTCATATGGCACCGCCTTCCTGAAGGGGAGAGCATCCCGTCTGCCGCATGGATCTGAAAGCCAATCCATCGGATTAAAATCAAGGACCAAACCTTTCCGAGCTGCGGGCGTGATGCAAACCCATTCCACTTTGTTCAAAGATAGCCCAAGCAACTATATGAATTATATGAGAGGTTCTGAAGAGTGATGGAGATCCCAGCTGCGTGCATGGCAAGAGATGAACCATGCGGTTACATTGGATCCCTAGCCAATTCATGGGTTACTTTTTTCGCCCTACCTGAAAATTCTCTGACACCCCGACTACCCTTGTGCATCGAATGCCATAATCGGGTTTAAGTCTCTGGTCCACGAATAAAAAGCAACCCTGGACTGTCTCAGGGGGGTCGTCCAGTACTACGGCTCAGGGTAGGAGCGTTTTTCGGGGTTTCCAGACACACTCCCTCACCTCGTCCTTGGTTGCAAATTCACTGGCAGCGCCAGAATAACTCTCGAGTTTGTTATAACGGGGTATAGTGGCCTCTTGATCCAAGGGGGAGACCCCTCTCAGTAATGCTCAAGGTCTGTTTGACTGTGCACCACCCTACACCATATCTACAGGAGGATATATTATCATACCCCTCTCGGGGACTGGTGTGCCGGGAGGCCTCCCTCCTGAGGAATTTCGCTACCACACCCCCCAGAAGTTTTGGGTTACCTGTACAGAGCCCTTCTAGGATACCCTCGGGGTCTCGGAGCGTTCTCTCTGGCCCCAAATTTTTGCAATTCACTTACTAGGGACAGTATATCTAGCCTGATATTTACTTTTTTCCCCTTTTCCTCCCTTCCCTCTCCCCCCCTCCTCGGGCCTCTCGATCCACAGAAATGAGGGAATTTCTTGCCACCTCATCACCTTCAGTAGGCAAAAAAACTGCTATACCGTGTAAGACAAGCTTAAGGGATTGCCCAGAAAAAGTGGAAGTGCAACAGGAGCGTTTTAGTCCAATATCCCTCAGGTCAAGCTCTGACCCCAACCACATAATGAAAGTGCTATCTCTACCTCCAGTTCCTTCTAGGCTACAGTGGAACTCGGCATCCCACTAATCAGTAACGGACACGCTGGGCCGGATTTTTTCCTGAGCTATCCCTAGAAGAGAGTACAGTGCTTTTCCAAAACTCTACCAATTCAGACCAAGAGCAAGGGGTGGAGGTCCCCTTTTCTCGACAGGTACTTGGGGGCTTTCTACCCACTCATGGCTTCCGCTTCTGGACTCCTTGTCGCTGTGAGGCCAAACAAAACTATTTTAGAGAGGCCTACCTACATCTTTTGGAAGCACAATCCTAGGATCTCCCACTATGACCACCCACTCGCCTCAAGAATGCAGCAAGTTACCTTAGAGGCCAAAGGGCACCAGTATGCACTTACTCCGGTCTATAACCGGGCTTTTCCTCACGGAGTCTTGTATGATTTTTTCCCCCCTTCGTACCTGGACCTTTTAGTACTTCCACAACCCTTATTCACGGGGCACTTTCCCCCCCCCCCCCCAAGAGCTAAGTCCGTATCATTACAGAGCTATACAAAAAAAAAAAAAAAAAAGACACAAGTTTACTCTCATCTTTCCCCACCCCGAAAGCACATATACCCAAAACCCATCTCATTTCAGCAACGTTGGAGCAGATGCGTTATGATGAGGTTCCAACCAAGCCACTTCCTGCAACCTCCGCCACAGCGCGAGGGGCAGCTATAACCGCCGCCCGGTGAAGAGAGTCTAAAAAACGGAAGGCGCTTAGTCTATCCCCAAAACGGTCGGACTGGTCACGTGTTTTTGCGAACCAGGTACTGGGCGGTAGTAGCTTATCGATGACGCGCTTGAAAACGTCAAACTGTCCGATTCTATTGGTCTCCCCTCCCCCCTCAATAGCGGCTTCGTTTTGTTCCGCTTGACTCTTAAAGGAACTTTCACATCTCTCTCCCCTCCGTATGGCTTCCCCGGACAACAGGGCTCTGGGCGCAGCAAACCTCACTCAATTCGTTGTCGGCTCCACACTGCATGACTTCTATGTTGTTGCATTAAATGGAGAGAGCAACTTTGGTGGGCTGATTAAGAGGCAAAGAGTGTGTGTGTGTCTGGATCCCTCGCCAAAATGTGGAAAATCACCCCCCTATACAGGCGGGCACCTCCATATAATATCCCGTACTCGAGTATATGTGTAAGGCTATGACAAGAACTATAGATGCTCACACTTACGAACCCAACAACCCTACGCAGGGCCCATACATATTTATGTATGCAAGAAATGTGACCAATGCAGAAAAACGAATGGAACCCTAGAAAGGGCTCCAATGTCGGAAAGGTTGGAGGGTGACGGAAAAACAAAAAAGAACTTAGAGAAGAGCCACTGCAAAGTAGTGCCTTTATTTTTTTTACATGACCGAGTTAAATTTGTGATGCAAAAGATAAAAAACGTAACTGAACGAATGAGAAAATCGTGCTCCTTTATATGCACAAAAACCCCAGAGAAATATTTACGAGTGAAAAAAAAAGCCGGCCGTTTCCCTTGAATAAAATCTACGCATTCTAAACATGTTTAAGCAGAAAAGATGAGAAGAGCAAGGAGAGAGAGAAAAACAAAACGGAAGAAAGCAACCCTAACCCAACATACCCCCCCCCCCTTCCCTTCCCGCCCTTGCCCCAAAAGTTATCCATGAAAAGTAGAAAGGAAAAACACTCGTATTCCGCGAGTTTTGGAAACCAATAACAGAAGGGGAAAAAATGGAGTCGTAAAAAAAAGTAGGAAAGTCCAAAAAAGAAAGCTACCAAAGTTTTTACAGAGAATGGAAGCCCCAAGAGACGCATGCAAAAAGAACAGGAAAAAGGAAAAAGGAAAAAGAAAACCCAAGCCAAAAATTCACAAGCTCCCGGGCCCCATCCCCGACCCATATGTCTTAATCCAGGTCGTTTCTATCGTGGTTCTTTTGTCGCACAGCGGGAGTGTTGATAGCTATAGCCGTTACACTTAACGGTTGGACCTCCATCCACGCTCACCGAAAAAAAAGTTATGTGTTCTTTTACACAACCATGACCTTAGAGGTGTATAGGAAGTCCAAACTCTTCTCGTCATTCTCTCGGTAGTGCGAGAGCACATTCTCAACTCGCAAAGCATGATCTGTAAATCATAATTAGCAAAAGGGCAGGGGTAGAAAAGAAAGAAAAAAATAATGGTAAACTCACCAGGGCTCCTCAAGCCCCTACCAATCCTCTCCATGGACTCTAGCATGAGGGGAGCATCCCCGCAGTTGCCGATCAAAGCTACGCTCTGCTCCCGACTCCAGTCCAACGAGAAAGGAGTGAGCCCCTTGCTGATGGCGGCAAAGTGTGCCGCCAGTGACTCAGCTAGGATGTTGTTCTTCTCGACTAGCCTTTGAGGGGGAGAAGGGTGGCGCCATGCATAACCATCCTCCATGTGGAACACCCAGTAGTAGAGTCTCCACGAATCACGTTCAAGCGCACTCATGAGGACCGCCAGTGTGAAAAAGATCCTAAGCCAATCCTCACGCTTCCTGCCAAATATCCGCTTCTGGAGCTCGTTCAAGATCTGTTTCTCGAGTTGCCATATCCGACGCTCAATCAGGTGGTCGAGCTGGTTCGCAAGGACCCGGGGGAGGGGTGTTTGATTGGCTAAAGGACAGGTGGATGAGGGGATCGGGCTAATACCGAGGGAGTCGGACGAAGGGTGGAGAGTAGCTCCGTTTAAGAGCAGCTGGGTCGCAGTCCAGAGTTGGAGCGCATCTCTGAGCATAAAGTTCTCCCCGCTCCTAGAATACCTCCATGCGGACCTGAATATCTCCGAGAGGATAGGGCTCGTTGTAAATGCGCTCTCCACGTAGAACCAGGTGTGATCGTCAATATACTTCTCCAAAATCTCAGTGTTGATCCCACGCTTCATGGCGTAGGAAGTTGTCCCCATTGATTGCCAGCCAGAAACATCCTTATACCAGTAGACGAGCTGCCCTGGGTAGGCTGGAATAAACTCGTAAACACTGAGTGAGAGAGTGATACCCAAAGCCTTTTCATGAGATACTGTGACAGTGCGTGAAGGTGAGTTTGACCAGCGCAAGACATGGTGCATCATTGTTCTAGAGTATGCGTCCACAAGCCCTTTCGGGGATGTTAGTAAAGACCATAGAAAGGCATTCCACGCCCTTTCTTACATTTTGAAAAAACGTCCAGGTCCACAAAGTGTACCCTCACGCACATGGCGCCGGCTCCCAGCTTCTCGCATCTGGGGCAGGGGTTTCCTTCACCACACTATCGGAGCTATTAGAATCAGAAGCTATAGGAGGTCGGGAGAGAAGATTTACACGCCTTCATCTTAAGACCCCAACAGCGGGTGCAAGCTCCCATCTTCCTCAACTGATGGACCTCGCGCCTCTCATCGGGGCCGAGCTTTCTGCGACTCTTTCTCCTCTTTGGCGCAGCAAGTGTCGCAGTAAGGTGGGAGTAAGAAGGATTGCTGGTTGGAGCACTCGATGCGCTGGACCCGATGTCCGGAGAGAAGCTTGGTGGTGCCGGACTAGATCTGGTTGAGTTCGCACGAGAGCGAGAGGCAATCTGGGGAGAGTAGTCCGAGAAAGCAGGAGTGGTTCCTCTGTCTCTAGGATCATACTCTGAAGAGCTCGAATCGTATTCTGAACCGAATGGTGAAAGTCCAGCCCTTGTGTGTCTGTCCCCCCCCCTCCCGTTATATGTATTAGTTGCGAGTAACTTTGGTAACAAAGGATATGGCAACGCAAGAGGTCGGGATATACCTCTCAAGGTCGGCGACACTGCGGCTTTCTTCAAACGTTTGAAAAAAGGCCTCTTCTGCGCGATGAACACCTGTCAATTTAGATATGCTCAGTCTTGCATCACTTAAGTTTACCGAATGCCTTGAACCGGAAAGGCATGCGGCAGAGTAGGTGATGAAGTGAGGGGCTACAAACCAGCAGAAGAATAGATGCTCTCATCGGGAGAATTATGAAGGACAGTCTGTCCAACCATCGATTGTGAAGCCGTCGCTGGTGATTGATATATCAAAGTTCCATCTGGCCCCTGCAAATATTGACCTCCTGTTGGCGCTGATAAGGAATAGGATCCGCTGTCCGCATAGGATTCTGGGAAAAGCTGATACAACCAAGGTTGAAGCTCCACACCCTCCGTTCCAGTGCTCGAAGGTGGAATGGGAGCAGGTGAATGTGAGTAGCTTCTGGGGGTGACTATTTCCAGTGCGTCGATATCCCCATCAACACCATCGTAGGAAGACGACCGATTTGTAGGTGCCGGGAAAGGTGACGAGTGGTGGCGGCGAGGATGATCACTCATTTTCGACGTCTTTTGAGGTGACCAATTATTGTAGAAAGGGAAAGATGTTGTCAATTTGTCTCTGACAAAGTGGGATTGCAACATGATGGAGAGCAGGAGTTGGTAGTTGATTGTTCCTTTATAGTAAAATCAAGAATCAAGAGAAGGCTGTGGCTTTATAAATCTGATGGGGATGGGACCCGGTATAGTGGGTGGGAAGTGAGATTAGAGTGAGTGCCCGCCAGGCCTGTCACTGCTATAGAACATAGCCGCCCCCGAGACCGCTGGGGGGAGGGGGGGGTAGGAAACGGCACTTATCAGAAAAACAATACTTTTTCGCGGCTCACGTGGCGCAATAAAAGGCGGGGCGTTAGACAGCTAAAAATGAAACGATTCTGGATCGAATGGGGGCGATAAGCTAATACATACTTTCATCCTTTCGGCACAATAATAGCTCTGAGGTATGGAAAAATCAAAAGAGAAGGGACAATCATGTATGCAGCCTGGTATCCGCCGAGTCCAGGACCCTTGCGTGAGCCAGTTCAAACCTCTCTCAGCTCCCAAGCCTCCCGAGTCCTGACCTACAGGGGAGAGGAAGGAGTGGAAGAGTGTGGTATCATACCAGTTGCGAAGGTACTTGTATCATACCGTGCCCGACCCGGACCCACCCCTGGCACCTCTCCCGCCCCCATCTGCTGCTTTCGCTACCTCGCCAAGGTATGACTGATGCAAGCTTGTGGTATAAGCCCCACGCAATACAATACACTAAACAAAATACCTGGCCGCTTGCTTTACCACTCGGGCTGCAAAATAAGGACACGAGTAAAGAGGAAATCACTATCAAGTGAAATACCGGTAGAGAGCTGCGAAAATGTGGGTTAGCAACCAGCCCTTTGTCAGTAGCAGCGGCCAAGACCACTCGCACTACCGGTACCATATCATTCCTAACCCTTCCAGCCTCCACACAAGATGCCACTGCCAGTAGAACTAGATCTACGGCAGTCGTACATTCCGAACAATGCATGGCCGGGTCATCGCCTCTTCCCCAGCCATGCGTGTGGTATACCCCAAACACCCGCTTAAAATTTTCTACTCCATTATACTATTCTATCTTTATGTAGCTCCGGGACAAGCTTTCTTACTCACCGTCGTACCACTTGCGCCCTTCGTAATCTTCCCTTAGAAGAGGTGCGGTGGTTTCGTAGATTGTTATTCCTCCGCTGTTACATGAGGCAACACACCAGAATATTTACCCCCTACCGGGTTCTGATTTCAAGGAGGCCAAGCAGAGCCGCCACAGATGTAGGTGACAAAATCACGATCTTTACCGCACCTACAGTACAGTACAGTGCTTGCCTCCCACCATCATGGAGACTCTTTCATAATAAATCAACATTTTCAAAATTGGGAAGGTTTGCCCCCCAGTGTAAATACGCCCGGTAAGCTCGGTATCGGTATCATATGTGATCGATCCCTCAGGTTTCCGTTCCCCACCACTGCACTTCTTACCAGCAAGTGTTCCCCAGATAAGGATGGGGCTCTATCAGTTCAAAGTTGTGAGCATCTCCCCGGTAAGACCTTGCGGCTCAAGGCATACCGAGATTCCGTGGAGCGTAGGGAGAATCAATCGAGCCTCAATCCAACGGCCGGGTTTATCCTACCGGCTACTCTTGTCCTACCCTCTAAAACAGGCATGCACTATTTAGGACGTGGCTATAACTTATTGTCCGCCCGCGGTATCGTTGCTTTGACCACACTTGGTGAACCCGCCGGATAGGCCACTCACCACGAACCTCGCAAAAGGGATATCATCATTCCTATGCGTGTAGAGTAAGACGCCTGAATACCTTAGCTAGATTCATTCTATGAATTGCCATTATGTCAGCAGCAAAGTATGGCTCGCGCTTTAGATTGCTTACCATCTAGGCTGGTGCCCTAGTATCGAATAAGATGGAAGGGAAGAAAAGCTAGCACAACCGCCGCCAGTACTCGAGTAGTCAGTTATGTGTACCAACCGCCCCTAGTGAAGAAGCAGGTGGAGCTCCGTGGGGTTGTGTGCTGCCTGCATAAAAGTGCATAGACAAAAAGCAGCTCCATTTCATACGACTCTCCAGGATTTTTCCCCTCGCTTGTTCTTGCGAAATGTACTTTACAAGAGCGATAACCTATTTCAGTCGCCGAAGTATTCCAGATTCCATCCGAATGAACCTCGAAGGCAGAAAATAGACTCGACGCGCAGTATCTTACCCCAAACCATCAAAATGTAGGAGGGTTGCATGATAACAAGGCACACATGCCCTCCTCGGTCGCACATTAACTTAGACGAGTAAGGAAGGTATGATGCGATATGGCTTTACTACTACCGGTGGTCTACAAGTGGTTCCACGGCTCAGGGCTTAAGCCAATCTCGCATCCTGCCCAATGTTAACAAACGAATAGAGTCAGAGCTGCCAGGGACAATTAAGCGACTCAAACGGCCACCCCCACTTCTCCTCCGACGCTCCGGGAAGTGTGCAGCTTATTTTTATGTGAGATTTCTAGCCTCAACACAAACGCGTTCTTCTAGAAGCCGCTCAGGCGGGAAAAGATTCCTGAGCCCCAGTGGATTCCGTCGAATCAGAACCCATTACTAGATTCATGATGTAAGTGACTCCCAAGTATTACACTTCGTAGTGACTGTCAGACAGAGCCCATACCGACGCCTCTGAGCAAGAGGACCCACTAAGATAATATTCATTGCCTTAACCTACTTGTATGGGTGCAAGTTTCGAGACCAATAGGGAAGCACTGTATAGTACTCCCAGTATTGCGGGGAGAATCTCTCGGGAGGTGCGCGCCCTCGCCATCCCCCATCCAGCTCCGACGTACGGATATTCCAGCCGGATCACACATAGTTTCCCAGGCAGGCCAGGGGCATGGAAAAGTCCAAAGATGACAATCTCCAAAACGAAGCGAGAAATCTAAATCCTGGCAGGAAACCCGGTCACCGTACAGACCGAACAATGTTCCCATAGCCGATCAAGAAGCATCCTTTTGGAACCCGAAGGATGGCTCCCCCTCATATGCCTCTGTTCTTACTCATATCCCTCCTGTCAACCGGGTCCCATGTACCAGTACTCTAGTAGATAGGATGAGGGTCAGGTATCATACCGGTAGATCGGGTATTGATTCCGATAATGAAAAAAAAGTGATTATCTTCGAGCCTCCCTCTCCACATCACGGTCAACATAGACATGATAGATACCCTGATAAATGTCTATTCGATGGATTTTCGGTCAGTATTTCCTTACGCCCGACTCGCTATACACCTTGATGGAGTATAGAATCGTACGAAAGCTCCCAGGGCTCCCAGGCTCGTCATTCGGTGATATTTCGACCTAATTCCATATTTAAATCTCCGGGATCCCAAGCAATGGTTGCCTTCCGGAGAATCTTTGAGTATCCTGTCTGTGCCAGACGGGATAAGCCCCGACCGCGGTTCTAATGCTCATAATAATACAGAAACCGAAACTCAAAGAAAGTAATCAATCAAACCCAAATAATTACGATATGGATTGGAAAAGTGCAAGAGGTGGGTCTTCTTGGGAGGAAGGATGCAAGGGGTGACACCAATTTTACCGGTTTCAAAAAATCCTCTCATTTCCAACATTGGCCCGCGTGCAGAACTTTCACCTGCTGGGTGCGGAACGTTCACTGTACTGTACTGTACTGTACTGTACGGAAATCGATTTTTCCACGGCAGAGTAAATTTTAGCTTACTATACTAGTATCGGGAGGTTTCTTTTTCGT